GAGTTAACGGATGCTGGTAGTGTATGCTTTGTTTTAAAGAGTTAACGGATGCTGGTAGTGTATGCTTTGGATTTAAAGAGTTAATAATATATGGAACAAAAATTTTCTTTTTTTGAGCGTGTTGCAACTAATCATTCATAGTTTTAGTAGAGTGTCAGTTTTTCAAACTGACCACGACATTCAACATTTATCTATAGCAGTGACCACTGAGGTTGGATGACCTTTTTACATTCCATTTGATCTGAAACTTGTGTTAAATATAAATGTAATCAGCTTTACTACTTCTTTTGAATTATCTGTAATAAAATTAAGTTCAAAATTACAAAACTGACTATTGGGTTCCATATTCATCATTGCATATATAAATATTCATACAAAATAGGTTGGTTACCCAATAACACGACCACAAACAAATTCAGTTTGATTGTAAAGATAGCTGTCATGGATGGATGAAGAAGCACAATAATAAAAGTATGTATAATTATTGTAGGACAGTCACCTTGACTCGAGTCCTGCTCCATCAGTGACATCATCATCAACCGATAATTTTAGTGGACTACCGACAGAATCTCCTCGAACAATTACAACTACATCAACAAGTACACCAACTTCTCGAGCTCCACCAAAGCAAACATGTCCTCCATCTTCTTCCTCATCATCCAAAAAGAGGGTTAGGCCAGATAAGGATTCATCAAGTTCGAAGAAAGTTCAGGTAGCCTCATCATCATCACTGGAACAAACTTCAACCACGAAGAAAGCTATGAATCCACTTACGTTAAGTGGGCCCGAACTGAAGACATCAAACAGTTTAGCAGGAACATTTGTCCCTGTGAAAAAGGTAGATTTTGGTTCATTAGGTTTTTTTTCTTTACTATTTATAAATCAGAATGCTAGTAATATTTATTGCTTAATGTTTTGTAGCCAATATGCTGAGAAATAATAGAATTTCCAGATCAGATGGTTTCATGTCTAATGTGAAATCTGACAGTGATAATGATTAAATCCATAGAAATATTACTAACAAAATATAGAAACACTTTGGTTGACACGTTTCATTGCTGAGGGATGGTATAAACGAAAAATCATATAAAAGACGGACACTTATCATATTTACTCAGTACCTACTTTTACAGACCACTTGATCTGGTGAACCACTTGGTGCCATGTCTGTTTACTCAGTACCTACTTTTACTGACCCATTGATCTGGTGAACCACTTGGTGCCATGTCTGTTTACTCAGTACCTACTTTTACTGACCCATTGATCTGGTGAACC